TGTGGGCTCTTTTTTGGATAATCGAATGTTTGCACAATTTACGCTTCTCCAATATTATTTTTGAAACGGCTTCGGAATACATGCATGATGTACTCACAAAGCCTGATGATCACCCTGGTTTCAGCCTTATTTGCCACAACATATCCTTTCTCCTGGAAAATATAGTCATGGTATCTTGAATATGTTCTCCCGAACCACAATGAACCAGCAGCAACAATTGCTGAAAGTGTTACCCGCGACTCGCGTCATCAATCGTACACGCTTCAGTGTAGCTCCATCATCTTCTCGCTTTGGAGACTTAGTACTAAAGGGTTTTGGCGAGATTCCTTTTATTTTTCTTGGGTGTCTACTGACATTGCTTGTAATCACTTTTCTCTTTATTTTTGTATCGTTTCGTCTTTTAAAATTATCAATGTTATGAAAAAAATAATAATTACAAATGAGTGTGAACAAAAGAAAGAGATGACACAAAAACAGATTCACATCCACGTGGCTCTTGCAAATTCTTTTTTTTTCACTGCACATCCACGTCGTTCGATATGGCACAAAAACAGACTGTTTAGAAAGAGATGACACAAAAATGCTTATTTCCCAGCCCATACGATCAACAAAGAAATGCAGAACCGATTTATAATAGTTTGTGATGGTACAACAGATGGAACCAAAAGAGAAGGCATGTATCGGTGGAACTCAATCTCGCAGATACAATCTTTTCGAGCACTACTAGACGATTTAAACATTTGCTATCTTTTCTGTTAAATTTTGGCCCAACCGGTTTATAATATTTTTGCTGATAAATAAACTTAACATTCACAAAAAAAAGAATCATGATAAACTTAGGTATATAAATTGAGGTAATAATTAAAAATATTATAGAAAAAGTCAAGAAATTTTTGCAAATATGACTCAAAACAGAAAAAAAAATCAAATACAAAAGTAATCATGATTTTTTAGAACATTCATTCTACCTTTCACCTCATAAGTTTGAAATATTCACAAAAGTACTATTTTTTAATTTTTGAAAATGTTTGTTTTACTTCATCATCATCTTTTTCTTTTATTTACAACATTATTATTATTATCAAAAGACAAACCATCATGAACAACTAATTTCAAGCTCTAAATGCACCTAAAATCAATATCTACATGTTTATATTCATTTTAAATACACACAAATCCTTTCTCTTTCACTTCCTCTCTTATATTATCCCAACTTTTTTATTTCAACATTTATAAACTTGCTAGAATCACTCAAGTTCATGATTCTTGGTCAAGAACGAGTGGGTAACTTTCATTAAAAAGTTATGTGTACTTGGAAAATCTAAACATGAATCTCATGAAATTTAAGAATGATCTTTTATTTTTTTCAGATTTGTTCCCCGAAGAAGACTTCCGAGAAATCTTCTGGTCAATGCATAAGTTAGTTTAATTTTGCAATTGGTTCTCTGTGTACTTTTTTAGAGAAGATTTCTTTAGAAGTCTTATAACGTTTCTTTGTTGACAAAAAAATATATACTTCCATAGAAGTTTTCTCGGATAAACATATTAGTTTTGCAATTGAAAGAATTATGTCAGAATTTTAACTTTCTATAGAAGACTTATTGGGAAGACTTCAGGGAATTTTTCTAGCAAAACGCATTAGAAGACTTCCCGATAAGTCTACTAAAAAGTCCTCCAAAGTCTGACTCTGATCTGAAAAAGCATGCATTTCCAAAAACGTTCAAATTGCATTAAAACAACGAAAAACTTCAAATCAAATTTTTTATTCTTAAATAATAAATAAAATAGTCACAATATGATGAACCTACAACTTTTTATAATTTAACATATAAACAATACATATCCAAAATTTATAGATCTACCTTTAAAGGAGTAAAAGATGAGAATCATGCAATGAGAAGCCCATAAAACAAGATAAATTAGTGAGAAAGATACAAGAAAAAAATGAGAAATAGATATAAAGTTTGGTGTTTCCAAGTTTAAAGAGATTACAAAATGGTGGAGAGTTTTAGAATGAGAAACATTACACTTTTGTTGTAGCCAATTGAGAGGAAGAGAAAAAAATGTTTAATTTTCTTTACATAAGGAGATAAATTCTAATTAGGTGAGATATTTTTGGTTCAGAAGAAAATTCTTTGATAGAAATTTTTCATGTAAGTCTTCTAGATCCCAAATTTACTATTCGCCTAGAAGACTTATCTTGAAGTCTTCTAGTACATTATTTGTTAGAAAACTTCACAATATTTTATCTAAACTAAACTCAAATAACTAACTATATAGCAACAAACATTTCATTAAACTTGAAATCAATTTTTAAGTGTTAAAATACACAAACCAAACATGTCAAATTTAATCGTTTTTTCAAGTTAAATTTCAAAAATCTAACCCTAAGAAAATCAATACTATAACATATGTTACGAAGCACTAAACCAAAAAAATATCATGACTCAATATAAATTCACTCATCTATCATGTAAACAATTCAATTTTACTAAATTTAAATGTATCTCACTTAAAATTGTTTATAATTACAGGATTTCATTTTTTTTTCCACATATACTATTTTTTATAAAATTTCTATATTATTTAAGATCTAGTGTATGAGTTATAATTTCGATTATTTTTTCTCTGAATGTCTTGTCATGCGCTGGGTTATAATAGTAAAAGTCAATACATTTTTTTGTTTGATCATAAGGAGTTTGTTAAAATTTCATGAGGCTTTTAGACTTTTTTTTTTTTTGCATTTGACTATAACATATGTTACCAAGCACTAAACCAAAAAAAATATCATGACTCAATATAAATTCACTCATCTTTATGTAAACAATTCAATTTTACTAAATCTAAATGTATCTCACTTAAAATTGTTTATAATTACAGGATTTCATTTTTTTCCACATATACTATTTCTTATAAATTCCTATATTATTTAAGATCTAGTGTATGAGTTATAATTTGATTATTTTTTCTCTGAATGTTTTCTCATCACTACAAGAAAACTCGTACATTACTAGAGTAGGTTTTCCTCGTTAATTCCTTGTAAATGACCTTTTACTAGGAACTTACGAGGAAACGCGTTTCGTCGAAACACGTTCATCGTAAAGCCTTTTTCCTCGTAAAGTCGTAGTAACCACTTTCCTCGTAATTTCCTAGTAACCATTTTCCCCGTAATTTCCTAGTAACCACTTTCCTCGTAATTTCCTAGTAATGCTTTACTAGGAATTTACTTCGAAATGTTTTTCCACTTTCCTCGTAATTTCCTAGTAATGCTTTACTAGGAATTTACTTTGAAATATTTTTCCCTATTAAAAAAATAATTAAAATAAATATAAATAATATATTTAAAAAAATTAAAGAATCCAAAT